CGTCACTTGATACTGGAGTGGCTGCTGGGTTATCTCCACTGTCCTGCTGGACTACAGCGAAGTGCTGCTGTCGCGGACCAGTTCGTGCCTTCTCCACATAGGTCGGTTGCCATGTTGATTTCTCGTGTGCAGCTGACCTGTTGGTCTTGATGATCTCCCTTGCTTTGTCAATGATCTCCGCGAAGGTTGAGTACTGCTCGCAATCACCAAGAGCCTGGCTCAATGCCGCACACGACCTGTTGTAGAACTCACGGCGTAGATGCTCGAATGGTAGGTTCAGATTGGGCACAGCCGCAATCTTCTGCCACTCCGTGAGCCAGTCCCGTGTTGTTGTGTTGCCCTGTGACATGGTGAACAAACGGTTGATGGCGAGTGCCGGCGCGTCGTCGACGATGAACCGCTTCTTCCACAGCCGTGTTAGTTCCTCCCATGTGATTACGTCCTTCAAGTCTGGTACGTCGACGCCGTGGGAGGTTGCCAGGTGGCTCAACCAGGTCTGGCATCCACCCTTTGAGTTCAGGAACAGGGCGTCGATGTACGCATGCTTGGCTACTGGCAGAATCCTGAGTTGCGTTGTGAATGCTTCCCACCAGAGGACGGGATCCTGTTGCGTGTAGTTGTCGAACCTCTCCAGGTTGAAAGTTGGCATCTTGTACATCTTCGGATTGTCGTCCGCGTTCGTCGACTGCAGCTTCTGGACCTCGGTCTTCAATGTATGCAGCTGACTGCTGATGGTGGTGATCGGCGCAGCGAAGGTGCTGATGTCGCCGAGCATTGCCACTACGTGGTCTACGCGGTCCTCCAGTTGGCGGCTTGAGGGTGCACTGCTGGAAGCTCCAGCAGCTGGTCCTGGTACAGCCTGTTCCAGGTCCAACAATCGGGCATTGAGTGCCCGAGTTGCATCCTCGTGGCTCTGCACTGTGCGGCGGAGCGTCGCCAATTCCTGATGCTGTTGCGTCAGGTCCCGGTGCTGTCTCTCCAACTCTGACCTTTGGTAGTTGCAAGCATACAACAATCGCGTCACGAGTTTGGAGAGGAACTCCTTGTGCTTTTCTTCCGGTGTTGCGTCGTCGCCGTTTGGTTGAAATTGCCAGTACTTGAGTCTGTCGATGCTGTTGGCTTCATGCCGCTGCAGCAGATCCTGGGCTTCCTTTCGGCGAGCCTGGGCATCTGCTTCTGCATCGGCCTGTAGCCGCAGTTTCTCTGCTGCTGCTGCCTCTTCAGCTTGTATGCRGGCAGCCTCGACTGCCAGCAGGCGTTGTTCCTCAGCCTCTATCTGAGCCAGGCAACGCTGCTTGTAGGCGGCAATGGTCTCATTGGCCAGTTGGCCTGGCAGGCCCGTCATGTTGCTGACGTGGCAATGCTGCTTACGTGTCACTGTTGACGTGGCACTGTGTTGAACGTCATGTTGCATACCGTATAGGCGCAGACCAGAACAAGAACCGACCTTTCAATACAAAGTATAAGATAGCACAGCGGAAGACTTAGATACCAGTGATCCGAACARTCAATGTTGTAATGCAKYCYTGAACATACATCATCATCATCGTTTCATAGTGTGAAYGGGTCTGGCGCTTCACACARGAAGACAGCGCCAGCCCAGAACATGCACAGACGAGGAGGAAGGGGATAGACGAAGAGGAGGGGAAAGATGGGAATGTCGTCAACACCAAGTCTTCGGCACAAGCCCAAATAGTCCCTCGTCGAACTGTCGGAATCTCAGATGTCAAGTCTGGATCCAATGTCGTCAAGTCTCCAGTCACAACTCTGTCTCTCTCTGTCGTAGTCGGAGAAGTCAGGTGGCGAGAGCGTGAGAAGAGAAGGTGGACTTAGAAGAGGAAGAAGAAGAACTCTCTCTCTCTCTGTGTCCAGTACTAACCTGTGAAGTTGGCACCTTGATGCAGGTACCGCGAAGATGGAGCTGGAGCGATGGCGCCACAGGTAAGTAACACTGGCCTCCGCCAGTCTCTCTCCCACTCTGCGATCTACTACCTACCAGCGCCCAGYGCTGAAGACTACAGCTAYAGCTATGGCGCCCAGCGCCGAAGGCTACAGCTAGCGCTACCACTACTGCCTAGCGCTGAAGACTACTGCAGCGCTCCTCCTGAGTGCTGCGGCCGAATCCTGAAGACTACCTCTTCCTACTGACTCTTTTCCTGCAGGGCGGGCCAGTCCTTTATAGTGCTGGCCCGTGCAGGAGGCTGGTCGTGCCAATGCCTCCCTGGCCTAGACCCTGCGGAAGCTTCCAGGCAAGAGCCTGGAAGTTCCCTGAAGTTTCCCTGTAGGGAAACAGGCTGGGGCCTGTAGGCCCTGTCAGAAGGAAGCTTCCAGGCAAGAGCCTG